CGTCAGCTCCTGCCGCTACGGCGCGCTTCATTGTGATCGCGTTGACACGCACCGACGAAGACTCAGGCGAGCCCCAGCGAGGTAAGGCGATGTTGTTACCGTTCACTCGCACGGTGCAGTCACCCGTCGTCCAGTCGATTCGCGGATTGTGTCGTCGCAACCAATCCCGACCGAGTAAAATGTCGGTTTCGTCGAGGGTCGTCGCGAGCATTTCCTGGCTAAACGTGAAGTTACCCCCGCATCGAATCCGAACCCGGTCTACGCGTTCCCGTATCGCCAGTGGCGTGCCGTCAACCAGTCTTGCGTCGATCTCAGGTAAGCATTTGTCCAGTGGCAGTTTCAGCTTCCGTGCCGTGGCAGTGTTGATGAGGCTGTGGCTGGCTCCCCCGTCTACGAAGATTTTAACTAAGTCTGTCCCTATCTTCCCACTAAGCAGTATGGGGCTGTCTACCGCGGTACCCTCCTTATTCGGCCGAGTGTGGTCGACTGCGTGAACCGGCACAATCACTCGGTGAGGGTCGGTTGGGTCGGGCGAGCGGCGTGACCTGTCAGTAGAGGGCCCGTCTGCTACTGACTCCCAGCGTTTCCCTGCTGCTTGGTCTGTTTCTGCTGCTCAGCTTCCCCCTTTCCCTTAGCGTTTTCCGGGCATTCGCTCTTGCGGTGTCCCGGCCGATTGCACGCGAAGCAGCGCCCTTTGAACGGTGCGGCAGCGGCATTCGCGGCGACGGCACGTATCGTAGCGCCCTCGTTCGTCCCACGAGACCGATGTCCCCAGTTACTACTACTGCCGTAGGACCCCGGTCTCGGTCGGCGGAAGAAGTCGAGCTTCTCCGCCATAGCGAGAATCTCCTGAAAGTCGGTGACGCCGCGAAGCTGGATTTCCTGAGCGATGTCGTGCTTCAGGCCGCCGATGTAGCGGTCGACGCGCTCGCTCTCGTGCATGTATCCCACTTGCTCGCATAGCGCCAGAAACCCGCTGGTGTAGTCTTGGACGGAACCGAGTTGGCGCCAAGTGCGGAGCTTCTGTCTCGCCGCAATCGAGGCCGCAATTGGCTCAAATCGAGCGCGCAGACCTGCGCACCACGCGTCCCACGTGCGATATTGGGGCACCTCCACGAAATACGACGGCGCCCAGGGTCCGGTTTGTCCTTCCCGTGTCGGTAGAGTCGCGTAGTCATTCGGCTTCGTGACGATGACGCGCCACCAGTCCATGGCGGGTCCTCGCAGCAGCGACACGGCGTAGCGAATTTTCGCCGTATCCTCCGAGACGTAGTTGGCATCGACGAACACGTTCATCGTGAACAACCACGCCTGAACGGTAGGACCACCCCGTTGACTCGGGTCAAAGCATGGCGGACGCTGCGGCTTCAGCGGCATCGGTGACGGCAGCTCCGAATCGTGTGTCGGTGCCGAAATCGTGACGCGAGGCTGACTTGGGGCCGCATTCGTCGCTTCGGGGTGTGTCGCGCCGTGGTCGTCGTCTTCGTCGTGGCGGACGACGCCATCACTAGCCGCGCTCGCGGGTCGCCCCACACTTCCGTGTTGCGATGTCTGTGGTGCAGGTGGTACCGGAGTGCCAGGTGCTTGAGATTGTGCTTGTTGCGCCCTCGTGAGGTCATTTTGAAGGGACGAGCGTTCTGCCGTCAACGCCGCGATTTCTTCGGAACTTTCGCGCAGCTGTCGCAGCAGATCGTTTAGACGCTCCTGCGTGAGGGTGGTGACGTCGACGTCTTCAGCCATGGCGAAGGGCGTCGGCTCAGCTTAGTCTAGGCGCAGTCGTGGCTGCACGCGTTTACGAGAGAACGCGAGGACAGCGGCTCCTAGGGGCTAAGGTGTGTGCGTCCCTTCGAGTGAAAAATCAAAAGTTGATTTCCTGGAATGCGGAGATGCGCGGTCCGAAAGGAAAGAAAGTGGCTCTGAATACCAAGTGTTACGGGTGCAATGGATCGAGGTAGCGAGGATTGCACTAAGTGTCAAACGAGTACAAAATGTGAGCGAAGGCATGAGCGAACATTTATACGCGAAACATGCAAACGGTAACGCGGTGCGTGCGAGCTAGCTAGTGCTACGCTGGCAGCGAGGTTCGGGCTAGTCCCGAAGCGTAGGCCGACACGGCCGGGCCAGCAGTGCGTGGTTTGGCAAAACAGTGCGCGCGAGGTTGGCGAAGTCCCGTTAGCAGTAACGGGCGAACAACGGCAGTGCTGTACGCGATGTAGCCGGACTCCGTAAGGAATGCCGAGAAAATTCCTTACAACTCTCACCAACTTTCACCAGCTTTCCCCGAAGGCATCGCCTCGTTCTCCTCCGCCTATTTCAGCCTCGTTTTAGACATTCAGTTATGTAGTTTTCTAGTTTGAAAAAACCGTGCACCGATTGCGTTTGGCCAACATTGAGCAAGCACGGACCTCGGGCTGATCATGTACGAGTACACTGGATCAGGAAGCTGGGCAACAATCAGATAGGGGCTCGATAGCGGTCACGTCGAAGCGTCAAACAGGGCGACGAGAGCGAGAACAACCAAGTCGCGATGCCGAAAAGCCGCGACAGCAGAGGCGCGAGGAGCTGCAGCTATGGCGGGGTGGGCAAACAGGAGGCGCAAGCCTGACATTCGTTGGGAGACGTCATAAGACAGTGGCGATACTCCACTGGCAATGGAAGGACGTTTGGAGCGTCAGGTAGTGGTACAATCGCTATTGCGTTAGAGCGACAGACTGACGACGAGAGAGCGCGACGTACGGCGCTGAGAGAGCGAAGGGCTGCGACACGAGATCGACGGTCTGCAACGCGAGAGCGACGGACTACGATGCGAGCGACGGACTGTGACAAGTTGTCTACAAAAAAGCGAAAAGGATCAATTTGTGATGAAGGATAGAGTGCAGAGGCGCGAGAAGCAGAGGTGCGAGGAGCAGCAGCAATGGCGGGTGGGGCAAGCACGCGCGCGCAGGTGGGCCTCCCGGCAACGGCTACGGTGGCTGGTGGTGGCGGCACGGCTGCGAGCAGCACAGGAAGAAGCGGTTTTGGAAGCCCACGCCCATCATTTCCTCACCGCCACCACCACCGCTGCCTCCGCGATCCCGGCTGCGCGCGCGCACCTCTGCTGCCACGTCTGCGAGAGTCCGCGGGAATAAGTTCGCGCGCCACTGGGGGAAGGAGCGCAGACGGGGGCAGCTGCAACGGGCGGCCGCGGAGGAGGAAGGGGAGGCGGAGTGGTGAGGAAAGGCGCAGGGAGGGTAGAAGGGATGTGGGCGTGTGTGGCTTGGGATTGGTGGATGCGAGGCGAGGGGTGGGAGAACGGGGAGCAGGGGGGAGGAAGAGGGAAGAAGGGAGGAGGTGGGGAGAGCATGTGCAAGGGGCTCGAGGAGGGCCGAGAGTGATTGGGGGAAGGAAGGAGGCTGGGGGGAAGGGCGGGATGGGGGGCAGGTGCGGGTGATGGCAGTAACGTGGGAGAGCATTGGTGTGAGGCGGGGGAAGGAGAGGCAGTTGAAACGCATGGTGGTGCTGGCGGGGGAGGGAGGGGGTGGCGGAGTGGATGAGCGTAGGGCGGCGGAAGGGGAAGAAGAGGAGTGTAGAGGAGAGGCGCGTTAAGAAGGGCAGGGAGTGGACGAGAAGGAGGTGGGGTGTGTTGCAGGTGGGTGGAAAACGAGTGGATAGGCGAAGGCGGGCGAGAAGCAAGGGAGGAGAGAAGGGGCAAGGAGGAGAGGAGAAGCGGGAGGGGAAGGGAGGGGAGGAGAAGGAAGGGGAGGAGAATGGAGTGGAGAAGGAAAGGGAGGAGAATGGAGGAGAGGAGAAAAGAGGGCAAGAAGGCAGTGAGAAGGCACGCACATTGGCGTGGAGGCTGCAGCAGGTGAGGCAGTGAGTGGAGCCAAGTACCACAGCTCATGTGTAATTCCCTTTTCCTTGACAATCGCATGTTTCCTCACACACAGCACCAGAAGCCCTAACTGGAACCGTCACTTAAGACAGACAGATATTGAGGTGGCTTTTGAGAGTCTCAAAGGTCGCCTTGTTTCCTCCCAGCCCTGCCGGGGACATTCACCAGAGACAAACAGATCGCATGTTTTCTCACGCGTGCCTGGCTCAACCCCCTTTTCCTCGCTTCCACCTCTCCCTGATAGCTTTCACTCTCTCTCCCTCTCTGGCCCCAATTGTCCCTCTCCCCTCTCCCCTCCACCCAGGTACGCCCACCATGGGGTCACATCGGAGCTTAGTGCTCTCCTGGCAGGGCCGCTGGTCGTCCATACCATACCTCTTTCCTCCTCCCTCCCACCTCTCTTGCTGCACGTTCGTCTCTCCTACCCCCCACCCAGGTATGCCCTCCAGGTGGTAACCCCCCAGCTCAATACGCTGCTGGCTGCGCTGCGGGTGGACTTTTGAGCCCTGGATACTCACGCTGTTTTTGAGTAGACTCAGGCTGTCCAATCCATTCCACATCTACCTCATGCTGAGCCCAGACGTTGCTTGCAGCGCCCCTTGCGATCACATCACACCAATCGGCCACCCCGGTTAAGCTTCTACTTTGCTCAAGCATGATTTAAGGCCCGTTCCCTCACTTTCCGGCATCCCATTTCTCTCCCGCCCTCACTATTTCAGTCTTGTCGCCCCTCACCGTTCCCCATACCTCCTCTCCGTTCCACGTCTCTCCTCCCCTCGCAATTCCTTTCTACCCTGACCGCATCCCCACTTTCCCCCATTGTATCGTATGGGTGCAGGGAAGGCGAGCCCTGGCCTTGCCAACCCCCGCATCCCCACTTTCCCCCATCGTATGGGTGCAAGGAAGGAAACCCCTCCTTCCCCCCTCCCCTCCCCTCCCATCCCTGACCCCCCTCCCACTTAGCCACCCCATCGCATAGGGAGTGAGGCGGCGGCGGTGGGCGCTGGCTGGGTTGAAGGCGGTGGGGTGGGGTGGGGCTAAATGTGATTCCCCCATCTCCCTTCTCCCACTCCCCTCCCACTTACCCCCCACCCACAAAGGTACGATGAGGCAGCGTGTGCAGGGAGCCATGAGGCAGCGTGTCCAGGGAGCCATGAGGCAGCGTGTGCAGGGAGCCATGAGGCAGCGTGTGCAGGGAGCCATGAGGCAGCGTGTGCAGGGAGCCATGAGGCAGCGTGTGCAGGGAGCCATGAGGCAGCGTGTGCAGGGAGCCATGAGGCAGCGTGTGCAGGGAGCCATGAGGCAGCGTGTGCAGGGAGCCATGAGGCAGCGTGTGCAGGGAGCCATGAGGCAGCGTGTGCAGGGAGCCATGAGGCAGCGTGTGCAGGGAGCCATGAGGCAGCGTGTGCAGGGAGCCATGAGGCAGCGTGTGCAGGGAGCCATGAGGCAGCGTGTGCAGGGAGCCATGAGGCAGCGTGTGCAGGGAGTCAAGAAGATTCTCTCTGATTTCTCATGCCCGTGTGCAGGGAGCCATGAGGCGGCGGGTACTGGCAGGGCTGATGAAGGAGGTGGGGTAGACCGTGCACTGTGGGAGGACCAAGTGTGGTGCTAAGGTGGACGAGTTGCCTGAAGCAGGTGGGGAGTGGGAGGGCGTGTGATGGTTGAGAGTAATACATCGTCACACCACTGAAAAATCATGTTAGTGGTGCTGGGAGAACGAGCGAGTGGTGCTGGGAAGTCAGGCGAGGGGTGCTGGGAGAACAAGCGAGTGGTGGCTGATTTGGAGGAGGTGCGTGGGACAGGGGAGGGTAAGGAGTGTGTTGGAGACTAGTGCACGAGTGCATGGGGGATGAAAAAGTCAGTGTGTGGTGCATGGGGGATAAAAAGGTCCAGTGTGTGGTGCTGGCACCTAACGAGGACGAGGTGCTTGGAGCAGGTGAGATTCTGGAGGGGTAAGAAGGGTAGGGTGGGGGAGGATGGTGAGGGGTTGCTGCACGGGTAAGATGGGTGGGGTGGGGGAGGAGGGTGAGGGGTTGCTGCATGGGTAAGATGGGTGGGGTGGGGGAGGAGGGTGAGGGGTTGCTGCATGGGTAAGATGGGTGGGGTGGGGGAGGAGGGTGAGGGGTTGCTGCATGGGTAAGATGGGTGGGGTGGGGGAGGAGGGTGAGGGGTTGCTGCATGGGTAAGATGGGTGGGCCTTCTCCTCATGTGGCACTGATGCGGCCCTCACATCCATCCTACCAGGACGTCCCTCACATGGGATGGGGTTACATGGTGCCGCTGTGTGCAACATTTCCAGTTCAAACCACCCTTATCCACCCATCCAGCCACCACCAACCCAACCCATCCCCTCTCCCCACTGTCCCCAACCCAGCACTCCCCCTCACCTACGAAGCCCTCCCCCCCTCCCCCTCTAATGCACGGCCACACCAGCCACCCCTCTCTCACGTCCCTTCTATCAGATACCGAGGTGGGGTGGATGGGTGGGCGCGCAGCATTTCCACCCACTCCACCCCGCCCTTCATACCACCTTCTCCCCTCCCTTCCTCTGCTCTTGTGCACAGCACCACCCACCAGGCGATCTTGACGCACCCCACACGCAGCATTCCCTTGCTTGGGGCTCTCCCCTGACGCCGCCTGGCCAAGGTGAGTGCAGGTGTTGAATGCGGTGTGGTGTGGTGCTTTTTAACACAAGGAAAGACGGGGGAACACGTGCAGCTTTCCTGTGATATTGGCCTTCTGCTGTCGCTGCCTGGCCAATGCAGGTGTTGAATGTCGTGAGGAGGAGTAATGCACGCGACATTCCCCGTGCTCGTTGCTCTGAACAGATGCTGCCTGACCAAGGTGAGTACAGAAGAGATGGATAGGTGCAGAGTGATGCAGATGGATAGGTGCAGAGAGGTGCAGATAGATGGGTGCAGAGAGGAACAGAAGGATAGGTACAGAGGGGAGCGGGTGGGTGGGTACAGAGAGGCTGCAGCCAAGACTTGCTACAGTAAGATGCATAGTCATGCAGAAGAGAATTACCAACGACCCAATCTGGGCAGTTTGGAATGTTTGCCCCTTCTATTATCGAATGTTAGAAACATATACCCTGCATATAATCGCATTGCATTTACTTAATCTATGTTTTAGTTTCAAACGCGTTGTAGCGCGTGATTGAGTACCTTTGATTGCTGAACTGAGCTTGTTACATTTGTGGGAAAACATACTGAAGTTTTATGCTTCACGAATTTCGTTAAGTTTGTGTAATGGGTTAAAGTTTTTAACTGTAGGCTTACAACAGCTTGTATGTTCCTGCTAGTTCGCTTGAGGCGGTTAAAAGAACCACTTTTGAAACGACCAAAACCACTTTTGAACTGCTCCGAACCACTTACGTCCCGCTCCGAACCGCTTTCGAGTCGCCACCGCTTCTTTCGCCACAATTTCGAACCAAGGCTGTTTCCCCCGAGGTCCTCGCTGCGACGAGTTCGGGTGAGGTGGTTTGGCCCGAACCGCTTCTGAACCGACTTGAACATCTTTCAAAACGCCCCGAACCACTTGCGCTCCGCATTTAACCACTTCCGAGTCGCCACCGATTTTTTCGCAACACTTCTGTCCCGAGCATGTTTCCCTCGTGGTCCTTGCCAAGTTTGACCCTGCTTACAAAATCTTGCTCGAATATTTGTACGGGCGTTTCATTCAGCGTTCTTCAGCTTTATAGTTACTGTGAATTTCAGCTCGTTAGTAAAAACCTTTTTGGCCACCATTTGGCCTTGCTTGGGCTGCTCGCTAGGCTGGAGGAACCGCGTTCAGGAAGTGGGAGCTCGGACGGCAATGATGGCTGGATAGCGATTGCGTCGAAGCGTCAGATAGGTCGACGAAAGAGAGAACGACAGAGCGACAGTAGACGACGAAAGCGATATAACCCGATTTGCGAAATCGGAGAGGCGCGACAGCAGAGGCGCGAGGAGCAGCGGCAATGGCGGGTGCCGCAAGCACGCGCGCGCTGTAAGGGATCCGAGCGGCGCAAGAGTGGATCCGAGTGGCGGCAACGGCGGCAGCCGCCGCTGTAACGGCGAAAACAGCAGCTTAAGTGGCGAAGAGCCCGCTCCGGTCGCGCTCCGCTGCTGCTGCCACCGCCGCAGCCCCCGCCACAGGCGGCACCGCTTCCGCCGCTACCCATGTTGATTGCGCGCCTGATTCGCTGCCTCCGCAAGAGTCCGCGAGAATCGGCTTGCGCGTCAGTGGGAGGGGGAGCGCAGATATGGATAGCAGCGATGGGAGGCCGCGCGGAAGGGGACGGGGAGGCGGAGCGGGGCAGGAGGCGCAGGGAGGGGAGGAGGAATGAGGAATGCGGGCGCGTGTGGTTTGGGTTTGGCGGAGGCGAGGCGAGGGGCGGGAAATTGGGGAGCATGGGGAGGAGTTGTCGGGCGGAGGAGGGAAGAAGGGCACGCGGAAGGGTGTGGAAGGGCGAGAGAGAAGGAAAAGGAGAGAGCGCGCCGGGAACGAGGGAGAACCCGGAGGGAAACGCGGAGGGAAGCGCGGAGGGGAGCGCGGAGGGGAGCACGGAGGGGAGCTGGGGGGAGAGAGGCGGATGCAGGTGAACCGGGCGTGACAGGCGCGGGGGGAGGGGGAGGTGGGGGGATTGGGACAAGGGGAATGGGAAGGGAGGGGAGGAGGGGCTGAGGGAACACGAGATTGGATTAGGATAGGACGCTGGGCGTGTGGGTCATGGGTGGGTCATGGGGGTGGGTCATGGGGGTGGGTCATGGGGGTGGAGGGAGTTATAGCGATGGTGGGAGGTAGGGAGGAGGCAAGGGATGGTTGCAGCATGAGAAGCGTGAAGGAGGGTGAGCCACAGTCGTGGGAGTCGGAGAGGTGAAGGCACCATGGCACTCATGCTGCTGTGTGACATGCTGCTGTGTGACATGCTGCTGTGTGCCATGCTGCTGTGTGCCATGCTGCAGTGTGCCATGCTGCTGTGTGCCATGCTGCTGTGTGCCATGCTGCTGTGTGCCATGCTGCTGTGTGCCATGCTACTGTGTGCCATGCTGCTGTGTGACATGCTGCTGTGTGCCATGCTGTTGTGTGCCATGCTGCAGTGTGCCATGCTGCTGTGTGCCATGCTGCTGTGTGCCATGCTGCTGTGTGCCATGCTGCTGTGTGCCATGCTGCTGTGTGCCATGCGCCTTGCCATCGCAAATCCCACGTTCTCAGACCTACGCCTTCCTCCCTCGCACTTCTGCCTTCCTCCCTCGCACCTCTCCCTTCCTCCCTCGCACCTCTCCCTGCTTGCTGTCTGTCTCGACTCTCACCCCCGGCCACGCCCACCAGGTGGTCAGGTCACCCCGCAGCTGACCCCACCAGGTGGTCACCCCCGCCTCTCCTCTTCCTGTGCTGTGGTCACCCCGCAGCTGACCCCACCAGGTGGTCACCCCCGCCTCTCCTCTCCCTGTGCTGTGGTCACCCCGCAGCTGACCCCACCAGTGGGATGAACACGCTCATGCCTGCAATGCTGGCTCATGGTGCTGGCGAGCTGCAGTGCTGGCGAGCTGCAGTGCTAGCAAGAGTGCTGGCGAGCTGCAGTGCTTCCAAGTAAAACCGTATCAAGGTGAGCCCTGGCCTTGCCAATCCCCCACCCCCCGCCCTTGCCCTCACAGTTCCCCCCTACCCTGACCGCATCCTTACTTCCCCCAGTGCAGGAAAGGAGACCCCTCCGTCTCCCCTCTCCTCCCTTCCCCCACCCCCCTCCCACTTAGCCACCCCATCGCATAGGGAGCGAGGCGGCGGCGGTGGGAGCCGGCAGGATTGAAGGAGGTGGGGTGGGGTGGGGCTGATTGTGATTCCCCCATCTCCCTTCTCCCACTACCCTCCCACTTACCCCCCACCCGCATAGGTACGACGGCGTGTGCAGGGAGCCATGAGGCGGCAGGTGCTGGCAGGCGAGCCATGAGCCATGAGCTGTAGGAGGTGGGGCAGGCGCGCAAGGTCAAAGAGATTCGCTCTGATTTCTCATACCCGCGTGCAGGGATCCATGAGGAGGCGTGTGCTGGCAAGGCTGTAGGAGGTGGGGCAGGCCATGCACAGTGAAGGGGGTGCTTGGAGCAGGTGAGTGTCTGGAGGTGGGAAGATGGGTAGGGTGGGGGAGGAGGGTGGGGGTTTTCTGCATGGGTAAGATGGGTGAGTGAGATTTCTCACGAATGCATGTGCGTAGTGTTTAATGATACCCTACCATCCCCTCACTCCACATTCGCCCTTTCCACCCATCACACCCCATCCTCCCCTCTGCCCTCTCCTCATATGGTGCTAACACGAGCCCCACATCCATCTTAATCAGGACGTCCCTCACATGGTATGGGATGGGATTAGATGGTGCCGCTGTGTGCAACATTTCCACTTCAAACCACCAATATCCACCAATCCAGCCACCCCCAACCACTCAACCAATCTCCAACCTTTATCCACCTTTATCCACCCACCCAACCCATCCCCTCTCTCTCACCACTGTCCACCACAGGCTCTTGACGTGTCGTCACATCCATCCCACCAGATGCTCCTACTCGCATCATTTAAAACCCGCGTCTCATATTAACAACGGTATTACACTTGGTTGGGAAAAGGCACCTGTGATTGGGTAACGAGGGGCGAGTTTGTGACGAGCAGTTTGGAAAAGAGAAGCGAAACCCTTCTTCGTCAAGGCAAACGCCAAACAAACCCCTCAGGCATGGAACACTTCCACACCTAGAAAACAGGTTTGGCAGAATCGCAATTGCGATTGACCAGCAAAAAAAACACACAAGTCGCCCACTTTCCCCTCGCAGCATGACAGTCGCATAGAGAGCAGAGCACAACCACTAAGTACCTCATAACCGACCAACAGATAGCAGGTGCAGGAAAAGTCTAGTAACCCTAGTGCCTCCTCGTCTCACGCAAATACAGCGTTTTCCCCGTCATCAGCCGTTCCGCGTCCGATGGTTCGCCTACAAACGTGCTGCCCTGTCCTGCCTTCTACCAGCTGTTCACATCAAGATCTATTGCGACTTACACTGCTCAAAATCGCTTGCGACATACCTGCTGGCTCCACATCGACTACCGTTCGACCGGTTCGCCATTTGCCGTGCCGTGCCTTTTTCGGCGAGATTTTAATCCCCCTCAGCGTTCGTGATAGTGCGGAATTCTGCGCCCTCACCCGGTCCCCCTCGCCAACCATAACTGATCATCAACGAAGTTGTAACACAACGGAAAGGCTCTAGGCTCTACTACCCTTTTCGTCCAGTGCGGCCCCGCCCGTTTTAGAACCGGCCAGCACCATGCACCTCCACTTTGGCGGTAGTCGCTCCTACAGCCACCCGTCAAACGCCGCGATCGCGCCGCCATCCCACGACGCCGCGCGTGCACCACGCGCCGTCGCAGCAACGACCCTTCGCCGCGAATCTCATGCTCGCTGCGCTCGCTCTGCTCGCGGCGTGTGTCGCGCTGCGGCCCGACCAGATGCTGCGGAGATTCACGTGCCGCGGCTGTCTCGCCGCGTCCAGCCTGCCTAACACGACCTCGTTCTGATCGCCGAGGTGCGTGCGACGCCCCTGTCGCGCACTGTGTCGCCCACTGCGAGAGTTCACGAAACACCTCTGTATCTTGACTAGGCCTTACCCTCCCCTCTCTTCCTCCCCCCCAACCCCGTTTCCCCTCCCCTCCCTCCCCACCCCACCCCACTCCGCTCCGCCCTGCTTCCCCATCGACCAGTCGCATCTAAGCTCTCACAATCTTCAGTCTGCCCTCCGTCTCAGTGCGCACGAAGCAAGCACCTTTCCACAACCACAACATTCTCTCTCCCCTTTCTCCCCACTCTCCCCCCTCTCCCCACTCCCCTCTCCCCTCTCCCTCACCCCCTCCCCTCTCTCCCCTCCCCGCTCCTCTCCCTCTCCTCTCGCCCCTCTCTCCCACTCCCCAGGGCAGCATGGCAGCGCGGCTGGTGGCGTTGTGCGGAATGGAGGCGCTAGCAGTGGCGGCGGGGTTCTCGCTCAAGGTGCTCTGGCTCACAGACGCGCCCGTGCACGCCGCTCCCTTCTCGCTCTTCTCCCTCCCCGCCCACCCCAAGATCTCCAAACCAGCCAGAGGTGAGTGACGGATGGGGGGGAAGTGGGGAGAAGGAGGAGAGGAGAGAGGGGGAGGGAAGGGATGATTTGGCTGGGTGGGCCTCTTTATGGGCCTGGGTTTTTGTCTTTCAGCCTTTCTCTATTTTTTTGCTACCCCGCGCCTTACACCCTGCATTCATTCATCCCTCCACCCTCCCTCTCAACCACCCTCTCCCTGTCACAAACCCCCGCCTTCCCCTTCCTGTCACAATAACTCTCTGCCTGTCTCTCACGAGCCATTCTTTCTCCCTTGTCTTCCTTTAACCCGCTCCTTTCCTTCCCTCGTCCCCCATCCCTCTGACGCATGCGTGGCATCAGGTGGGCAGTGGAGGACGTGTCGCCTGAGTGTGTGGCAGGGCCGCTGCTGCGGTCCCCACCACACGGCTTCAAGTACAAAGCAGTAAGGCCCTGGGGAAGGGACTGATTGCATGCAGGCATGCAGGACAGTAGGCTGCTTCCGATGCTGTGCACATAGATTGCCCTTTCAGGCCGAGTTAGCGTTGCAATCACCCCATGCTCTTTTCTTTTATCTGTTCGTGCGCCGCTGCTTTCCTCTCCTCCTTAGCTCCTCCTTCCTCCCTCGCTCCCCACTCCTCCTCTGCCCTATTCAGGCGTCAGTGGTGGACTGTGGGGCGGCGACAGGAGTGGGAGGCAGCGCAGCAAGCAGGGTGTTCCGCATGCCCGTCAGACTGCTTGTGTCCACTCGAGCTAGCACGTGGGATGGATGGGTATGATGCAGCGTGCAGGAGAAGGCATGGGTGGGGCACGGCAGAGCAACGAGTGGGATGGGTGTTTCGCATGCCAGTCAGTCTGCTTGTGTCCAATCGAGCCAGCATGTGGGACGGATGGGTGGGTGTGACGCAGGGTGCAGGGCAAGGGATGGTTGGGGCAGGGCAGGGCAGGGCAGGGCAGAGCACTGGGTGATAGGCGCCGCGTGGGGAAAAATTTGTGTCCAATACAAGCAAATTTCCAAGCTAATATACAAGTGTATACAATCAATAGGCTCTTTGCGTCAGTGCCGTGCTCAATTGCTACTTCAAAGATGCCTTGAAGCAATCTGAGTATCAATTTCATTACGATATTGAAAAACAAGAGACTATGAGAGTTTGCCAAGCCTACTTTGCCAACAACTGAGTTCAAATCTACGCATTAGTCACAAAATTAGGGTTCAACCGCTTTGTGGCGCCATGCTGGATCAAGCACGTCAACAGAGGGGGCTGTAAGGGGAAGTAGAGGGGAGGCAAGTGGGGAAAGCGAGGGGAGGCATGGGAGGAAAGCGAGGTGAGGCATGGGAGGAAAGCGAGGGGAGGCATGGGAGGAAAGCGAGGTGAGGCATGGGAGGAAAGCGAGGTGAGGCATGGGAGGAAAGCGAGGTGAGGCATGGGAGGAAGGGAGGTGAGGCATGGGAGGAAGGGAGGTGAGGCATGGGAGGAAGGGAGGTGAGGCATGGGAGGAAGGGAGGAAGTGATTGATTGGCGGAATAGTGTGTGACAGGTGGGGCAATAACGTGGAGAGGTGTGGTAGCATGGGATGAGAGGTGACGCAGAGGGGGAAGGGAGCGCAGAGGGAGTAGGGAGGTGATAGCAGATGGGGAAGGGATGTGATAGCAGAGGGGGAATGGAGGTGATAGCAGAGGGGGAATGGAGGAGATAGTAGAGGGGGAAGGGAGGTGATAGCAGATGGGGAAGGGAGGTGATAGCAGAGGGGGAAGGGAGGTGATAGCAGAGGGGGAAGGGAGGTGATAGCAGATGGGGAAGGGAGGTGATAGCAGAGGGGGAATGGAGGTGATAGCAGAGGGGGAAGGGAGGTGATAGTAGAGGGGGAAGGGATGTGATAGCAGAGAGGGAAGGGAGGTGATAGCAGAGGGGGAAGGGAGATGATAGCAGAGGGGGAAGGGAGGTGATAGCGTGCACCTGGCCCCATCGGCCCGACGAGCACATGAGCAGGTACTGCACCCAGGGTTGTGTGATTTGATGTCAGTTGTAGATCGGACTCCTGCGTGCTGTCAGATGCGCGCAGCCCCTCGTGCTTGTCTAGCCAGAGCCGCACCAGTTGGTTGCTGGTTGGGAACTCTGCATCCGTCGGCACCGCCTCGAAGGCAATCTGCAGCAGAGAGGTGGGGAAGGTACGGTAAGACGAGAGTAGAGGTAAGGGAACTCCGCGTCCGTGGGCACCGCCTCGAACGCTATCTGTGGAGCATGAGGAGGAGAGCACACATTAGCACATATGAGTGCATCCGCAACCAGCAGAACCCAGAAGCACCACGCCGCGCCCAGCAGCACCTAGCAGGACCCTGCAGCGCCCTCCCCTTGCCGCACGGAGTGCACCTTGTCGGTGGTGAGTCTGAGGCTCTGCAGCACACACCCGCACGCCTCAAGAGCACCACCGCGCACTCGGTGCCGGTGGCGAGGCGCGAGGAGTGCGGAGTTGGGAGAGTGGAGGGTGGACGGGGAGGAGGGGGACAGGCTGATGGGGACACGGGGGGCTGGGGGTGGGATGGGGAAAGCAAGGACGTGAGTTGGATGCGGAGGAAGCAGAGGCGGACAGGTTTCGTAGTGAGGCAATCTTGCATTGCAATAAACCGCAATGGACGGAGTGGTGTGGCAGTGCGAACACGACACAGTTTACAGCACACGGCATACCATGCGAGCCCGCCGCGTCACATCCTCCCCCGCGCTCGCACTGCCATCCGCCATCTCCTCCCCGTCCTTCCCGCCCTTGCGCTACCCCTTCTTCCCCGCTCCGCTCTCCCCTTCTTCTTCGGTTCCTTCCACCACCACCGTCCCCATCCCGCCTCTGGTGCTGCCATCAGCACCTACTTTGCTTGCGTAATCACCCACACCTCCTTCTCGCTCCCGTCACCATGTCGCGCTCGCTTTCAACATCCGCCGCTTTAGCTGTAACCGTCAGTCGAACGTGCGATGCCATGCGAACACCCACCGTTCAATTTCTGGATCGTAACGCCCAATCGAAACGATAATACTGCCAAGTGCTCGGAGAAAACCGAGTTTGGGAAGCCGCTAAAGTGTTCGCGTGCAAGCGAGAGCTGGCTGAAACGCAGTAAAGCAGAATGCGTGCAGCGGCGTAGAAGGGAGAGTCGAGAAGTGAAGGGAGAGGGACGGGAAAGCGCTTGAGCTTGAAAAGGGCAATGTGGAAGTGACGTGGGGATTAGAGCTTGATAGGAATTTGGCGAAAAAAAAACCTAACCAAAGTCGCTGAATAAAGGCTAGGCCTGGACTAGGTAGTGGTTGTGTGTAGGTCACTGACCTCTCCTGCATTTGGTTTGATCCGGAGTCTCATATTTTCAGGCTGTGGTAATACGCTTGCTTCTCTGTGTTTCCCTTCGTCGCACAAGGTGGTGTTTTCCGCGCACATACGTTGGTTAGTCGTGCATCTGCCTTGCCCAACCTGATGGGGCTGCAACCAATCACAGGGGCTCCCAATCGAACCCAACAAAGTTGCGACTGATTTTGTGGTTACCCGGTTTCGAGCGTATTACACTTGCTTGGAAGGGAAAAATATGAGACGCGGGTTTTAAAGCCCTCCGCCCCTCCCCCTCCAATTCACAGCCATACAGGCCACCAGCTCTCACGTCCATTCTATCAAATACCGAGGATGGGTGGGGTGGGTGGGCGCGCAGCATTTCCACCCACCCACCCCGCCCTTCATACCACCCTCTCCCCTCCCCTCCTCTGCTCGTTTGCACAGCACCACCCACCAGGCGATCTTGACGCACCCCACACGCAGCATTCCCTTGGTTGGTGCTCGCTCCGTTGCCGCCTGGCCAAGGTGAGTGAAGGTGTTGAATGTGGTGTGGTGTGGTGCTTTTTAACACATGGAAAGATGGGGGATGCGTGCAGCATTACTGTGATATCGGGCCTCTTCTGTCGCTGCCTGGCCGATGCAGGTGTTGAATGTGGTGGTGAGGAGTAACACAGAGAGGTGCAGATGGATAGGTGCAGAGGGGTGCAGATGGATAGGTGCAGAGAGGTGCAGAAGGATAGGTGCAGAGAGGAGCAGATGGATAGGTGCAGAGAGGAGCAGATGGATAGGTGCAGCGGGGAGCAGATGGATAGGTGGAGAGAGGAGCAGATGGATAGGTACAAAGAGGAGATGGATAGGTGCAGAGGGGAGCAGGTGGATAGGTACAATGAGGAGCGGATGGGTGGGTATAGAGGGGCTGCAGCCAAGACTTGTTACAGTCAGATGCATCGTCATGCGTGAGAGAAATACCAAACCACCCAATCTGGGCAGTTTGGGATGTTTGCCCATTTTATTATCAAATGTTAGAAATGTATGCCGTGTGTCTAGATTACATATAATCTATTAGCTAGTTTCATATGCTTTGTAGCAGGTGAATGAGTACTGTCGATGGCTGAACTGAGCTTGTTGCGTTTTTTCGAGATTTTTTTGCTGAGTTTGTGTAATGAGTTTTAGTTTTTCTTGTGGGCTTACATTTGCTTGTATGTTCAAACGAGTTCGCGTCATCTGGTTTGCTCCGAACTACTTTTGAACCGACAAAAATATTTTCCAAACCTTTTGAAAACACTGACGCTTCGTCCTGAACCACCAACGAGTCGCCACCCATTTTTTTCGCCACACTTCCGTTCCAAGCCTGTGTCCCTCGAGCTCCTCGCTCCGACATGTTCGCGTCAGGTCAGGTGGTTCGGCAAAACCCTAATCAATACCGACCAGAACCTTTGTAACTCCTCCGAATCACTTAGTATACTCCGTGCCGAATCACTGGCGAGTCGCCCCCGGCTTTTTCGCCACACCTCCATCCCAAGCCTGTTTCCCCGAGCTTCTCGACAAGTTCGAGAAAAATCTTGCTCGAATATTTATACGGGCGTTTCATTAGCGTTCTTCAGCTTTATAGTTGCTGTGAATTACAGTTCGTTGCAGAAATTCTCAAGCTTATAGCGAATTAATACTTCTCGTTCAACCACCATTTCGCCAAGTTAGGGCCGCTGGCTAGGCTGGAGGAACCGCGTTCAGGAAGTGGGAGCTGGGACGGCAACAGCCACGGTGGCTCGATAGCGTTCGCGTCAAAGCGTCAGACAGGCCTACGAAAGAGCGACATTAGACATGATAAAACCCGATTTGCGATGGCTGAGAGGCGCGACAGCAGAGGCGCGAGGAGCAACGGCAATGGCGGGTGCCGCAAGCAAGCGCCCGCAGGCGGGGCTCCCAGCAGCGCCAACGGCGGCAGCCGCCGCTGTAACAGCGGTCGCGCTTCGCCTGGATAAACCTCGCCGCTGCCACCGCCGCAGCTCCCGCCACCGGCGGCACCGCTTCCGCCGCCAACCCTGTTGCGCGCGCGCGTGAACCGCCGCGTTTGCAAGAGTCTGCAGAAAAAGGCTTGCGCGCCGAGCGAAGATAGGGTTAGCAGCAACGGGCGGCCACGCGGAAGAGGAAGGGGAGGCGGAGCGGGGCGGGAGGCGCAGGGAGGGGAGGAATGGGGAATGCGGGCGCGTGTGGTTTGTGTTTGGCGGAGGCGAGGCGAGGGGCGGGGAATTGGGGAGCATGGGGAGGAGCAGGCGGGCGGAGGAGGGAAAAGGGAAGGCGGAAGGGTGTGGAAAGGCGGGAGAGAAGGAAAGGGGGAGAGCGCGCGCCGGGAGCTTGAGGAGAGGCGGGAGAGAGGGGGCGAGGGAGTGCAGGTGGTGGTGAGGCGAACATGTGGTGAGGCAAACATATGGTGAGGCGAACATGTGGTGAGGCGAACATGTGGTGAGGCGAACAGGTGGTGACGCGAACAGGTGGTGACGCGAACAGGTGGTGAGGCGAACATGTGGTGAGGCGAACAGGTGGTGACGCGAACAGGTGGTGAGGCGAACAGGTGGTGAGGCGAACAGGTGGTGAGGCGAACAGGTGGTGAGGCGAACAGGTGGTGAGGCGAACAGGTTGTGAGGCGAACAGGTGGTGAGGCGAACAGGTGGTGAGGCGAACAGGTGGTGAGGCGAACAGGTGGTGAGGCGAACAGGTGGTGAGGCGAACAGGCGGTGAGGCATGGTGCTGTGTGTAATGGTGTTGTGTGCCATGGTGATGAGGGCACACCCTCCCCTCCTTCCTCACACCCTCCCCTCCTTCCTCACACCCTCCACTCCTTCCTCACACCCTCCTTTCCTTCCTCACTCACACCCTCCCCTCCTTCCTCACTCATTACCTTCAGCAGGCTGAATACCTCCTTCCTCCCTCCCCACCACCTTCCTCCCCACCACCTTCCTCCCCACCACCTGCCCCTTCTCCGTCTCACCCCCCCCCCCCCCCTCTTTCTGTCTCATTGACCCCAGCCTGGTACGAGCGCACCAGGTGGTCACATCACATCAGAGCTCACTGCCCTCCAACCCTCCTTCCTCCCCCCTCTCCTTGCACCACCACCTTCTTCCCTCCCCTCCCACCCCCCCCTGCTGTCCGTCTCTCCCTTCTCCCACTTCCTGTGCCGGCTCACCCCCTGTGCCCCCTCCGCCCCCCACCTCCCTCCTCTCTCAACCTTTGCGCCCTCTCCACCGCACCACCCCCTCTTCCCCACCTTCCCTGCTACGCCCACCAGGTGGTCACACCGAAATGAACACACTCGTACCTGCACTTCTCGTTCATACCTCCTTTCACCCCCCGCACACCTCCCCCAACCTCACCACCCCTTCCTCCCTCACATCACCTCTGCCTGTTGCCTGTCTCCCACCCACTTCCTCCCTCGCACCACTTCCTTCCTTACACCCATGCCCTCCCCCACACACACTTCCTTCCTCACACCCACGCCCTCCCTCACACTCACGCCCTGCCTCACACCCTTGTCCTCCCTACCCTCATCCTCCCTCACGCCCCCTCCTCTCCTTCCTCTCGCGCACCGCCCCACTTCCCTCTAGCGCCTTTGGTCCAAATACGCCCACTTCCCACTGGCCCACCCTCTCCACCCCCTTCTCCTTCCCCCATCCCCCGCTTCTTCTCTCCCTGTGCTATGGTCCTCCTCCTCTCCCCGTGCTGTGGTCCCTCTCCTCCCCCCCCTTCACCCAGGAGCGCCCACTAGGCGGCCACACTGAGCTTAGCACACCGCTGGTCCACGCCGCATTACCCCATCACGGCTCCGCCTTCCTCCCTCGCACCTCTCCCTGCTGTCTGCCTCGTCCCCATCTCAGCTACGCCCACCAGGTGGCCACACCTGAGGTGAGCTTTGGACGTGGCTGGCAGCACTGCTGTCGAATGTGCTGCGATTCCAAGTCAGCGCGTTTCAGAACGACCCCCCCAAGGTGTGATGAGGCGATTTATAAGTCGACTCAAATTCGTCTCATCAAGGTAAGCCTGGGGCGGAATGGGCATGTTCTTTCAGTTGACTAAAAATAGTTGGGTGAAGTGGGCAAAGGGGAAGGTGGAAGGGGGCATGTGCGCTTCAAGTCAGGGCGTTTCCCCCCCTCCCTCGGTCTTTCAACCTTCCCACCCTTTCTGCTCTCCACACCCCCCATCCTTTTCAGGGCATGCTGTGATTCCAAGTAAGGGCGTTTCAGAAGGACCCCCTCAACATGTGATGAGGGGCTGGGCTGTGTGGGCTGAAGGTGGGGTGGGCTATGTGGGCTGGAGGAGGTGGGGCAGGCGGTGCGGACCCGAACGGCATTCCATTCCATGCCCTGGTGCTGTGCGCCGTGTGCCGGTGCTGTGGGGCGGAAGGACCTTCCTCCCCCCCCCTTTCCACTCATCCCCCCCACACCGGGCCTTTGGATAGGATTGGATGCACTCTTACTCGAAAGGCCAGTCCGCGGAAGTTGTTATTTCTGTAAGGGTGGGGCAGCCATGTCAGTCTTTTTTATCAGTGTTTGCTGCAAAGTTACTCGTGCCCGTCAGTGTGCACATTGGTTGGTTAGTTAGTTACCTTTCCTTGTTCAAGTATAAGCTACGGTTGATTTTGCATGAAGTGTAAAATAAGAGACAAAGCT